AACATATTTGCTTTTGGATATGCTGATATAACCCCTATTTTAAAACAAATCTATTTACTGCCCTACTTGATATTTCTCAGGCTAATTTATGTAAAGCATGTGGAGCCAACATACTAACTACTATTCTCATTGAATATAGGATCAATTCACATTGGGAATAGATTGTAAAATCCAATGTTATGTTTTTTTTACTTATAAACATATGTTTGTTTTCCAATTTCTGAGGGAGAATTAGCTCATGGAAGCTTGCTGTAGTGATGGAAATTGTTCCCAAGCATAAACGGGCTTGATTGGACACCATGATTGGCAGGATATATCTGAGAGATCTCACAGTATGTTTGCAATTATGCATAAATTGACATCTGACCTAGAATTAGACATACAGATGCTCTGGGAGCCTTTGAAAGATATGCAGGCCTTCCCAGACAACACATAAGTGTGTCTAAACAATTACAACACCATAATTATGGGTAGGTATACCCTTATCATGTATCCTGAAACATATGAGGATATCACTGCAAAAATAACATAAAAAGTGAAATAATGCATGATATATAACGCAACAGGAGCTTCTTACATGATGGAAATATACAGAAGTTTACCATAAAGGGATGATTTATATCCATATTTGGGACATTCTTCTGGAACATTCCTTTGATGGGGAGGCTCCCACAGAGGCTCTCAAAGAGCATACAAGCATACAAATAGTACAAAAGAGGCTTTCAGGGAGTGCACAAGGAGTGTCAATATTTTAGAAATTATAGATTAAACCTCTGAAGAGGCTCTCAGCAATGATTTTGGCTATATGCCAAGTATAGTAATCCAATTGCTACTGGGGACTACAGAGGCTGGAGGGATGGTGGGTCTCTGAGACCTATTTCTCATGACATAAAAACCCCTTCTGAAAGATCCTGAGAGCCTCCTCAAAGTTCTGCCTAAGGTGACTTCCCCATTGTCTAAAATTGACTTGAAGACTCTGTGTGATAAGTTTATTAGCAAGCAATGAGAAATGAACAAGTGAATACATATTTGTGAATCTTGTGAGCGTCTTTGTGGTGTCTCTCCCAGATTTTCTGAAGCTCAGTCACTGGGTGCATAGCCAAATATATACATGAGAAAAATCTGGAAAAAAAGCTTGAAAACAAAAATACTTTTTTCAAGATATTTCTCCCATAATTTTTTTTTGTTTTTCAAATGGAAGTGTTCACCAAAAGTGTTCACCATTTGGATGATGCAAAGAGCCATCCATTTGAAAAGAAAAATAGTTATGTGAGAAATATTTTGAAAAAAGTATTTTCGTTTTCAAGTTTTTTTTCCAGATTTTTCTCATGTATATATTTGACTATGCACCCAGTGAGTGTCAACCTGATTCCAATACTTTGAACTGGATCCAAACTTGACAAGAACATATCGCTAAAAGCCTCAAAGTATGAGAAAGTCTAATATCAAAAGAAAGATAATACTGTGGATGCACCAAGAATGCAAACCTTGCTATCATTTCAATTGATGGTGAGACTTTTACCATAGAATTTGAGTTTTAGTATCTTATGGGATAGTGCAAGGATGTCGAGTGCCTCAACATTCTTATTGCTGTAGGTAGGATCTTCTTTTCCAATTGAGTTTGTGATCTGATTGAGCCAGCGTGATGTGAGATAATAATGCTATGGAATAGACTTCGAATGTGACGTTCCTCAGCCTTGATATCAAAATGGTGGTCAGTGAGTTTGTCTTTCACGCACTTTGCAATTGACTCACCCTGACTTGCACTTGATGTTGCAGCTGGGTATTGTTTCTCAACTTTATCCTGCAGGTCATTTTGAGCACTGAATCTTGAAGGATAAGGGATGAATTTTTTACCATTAATAATCTATCTTGCCCATTGTTCTTCTTATAGGCACTTAAAGTCGGGCAGATAATTGTTATGAATGAGTTTTTGTCAATATACATCTGAAGCACATGCTGGGTATGGTAAACAAAAGAGGAGTAAAACAAGCTTACCTTCATGCTGTCAGGCATTGTGAATACAATGTCTAGGGGTTGGAGTTCATCTTGATACTCTGCAAGTGCAATCTGCCGCTCCACAGGGGAAAGGTGTGCACAAGCAAGCACCTGTAAACAGCATGCAGGTTTTAGTTGAACATGTCAAATGGCTTTTTCTGCAAACTGAGTCAGGTTTTCAGCAGGTCCCTTTTAAGCAGAGCTTGAAGTGAGAGTTTCAGTAATGAGGCTAGTGCAAGGGCTTGTATTTTCCTGGTTTTGGGACTCAGGTGGGATGGGTGTTGGGCTTGTGAAAGGTATAAGTGAGCATGGAAAAGCTTTAAACCACATCTTGTAAAAAATGTCTCCGAGTGTCATTAGAGATTCAACCAAGTTGTCTGAATTGAGCTCATCAACAGCCATCGTAGCCTTGTTCATGAGCGGTATGATGTCTGTGAAAAAGGGTAAAAAAATCTTGAAAACAGGGGAAAGTTTGTGTTTTGCTCTCAGGACTGAGGTCTCCAGCATCCACAGCGTGGATCCTTTAACGTGTCCACTTATGCAAGGGTCGTCTGTGGTGAGTATTGCAAGGAGCCATTTTCTCTCTTTACCTGTTAAACTATTACACTCGGCGCCAATGCTCAACAACACGCATAATATCACCCAGAAGAAAGATTCCAAGTCATCCGCAAATGTATGAAGTATGGGTTCATCATCATCCCACACATTTAGCAATGGCCACAGGAGAACTGGGGACATTGTATTCATCAGTGCAATCACCCATAGATGAGAAAATGAAAATGAATGGGTAAAAAAAAGATTGAAGACAGTGCAAAAAAGAAAATGAAATGAAAATAAGGGGCCATCCTCTACAGCCTGCAGTATTAGCTCCTGCAGCTAGTGGAGCCCATCAGTCTCAGTCAACTGATCATACCAATATCTCTCCAAACAATCAAGTCAGGCATCTTATCTCTCCTTATCTAATCACTTGGTCTTATCTATCTTATCTTATCTCATCATGTGACTTTAAGTCACATGATTACTTACCAAGCACCATGCTGCAACCTCATGTACATCAGTCAGTGCCTCAAGGCTGACACATGCCTACATATATATAAGTAGCCACATCTGCATGTACATACCCTAGCTTTTGATTTCATCTATATACCTTTGCCTTAAAACCACTTGCTTGAGATTGATAAGTTATACCTCCATTAACTCGGTATAGGGTATAGGTTGTTATATAATCAAAAGCTCATAACAAGGCACCTGGTGAATGATCAAAACAAAGACTATCCTAATCATCATCCTATTCCCGACCATTACCTTCATCCTATTCATCACACTAAAACTTTACTTTGAACTCACTTGTCCCAATGTTCCATCCTCACCAATCAACACCATCACCACCTTCATCCAAAACACCCCATCCTCATTTTTTGAGACAATCCCCCTCTCAGCTATCATCCGCCCCTATAACCCAATACTTAGAGATTGTAACAACATGGAATCATTACAATTTTATTAGCTACATTTTTACCTACCTTTCCATTTTGCATACCCCTTACCAGGTTGTGCACTTGCGTCCGCCAGTTGGGGAGGAACTGAGAGCTTAATAAGCCGGTTACATCTGGATAACTGTTTGGACCCAGACTTATTATGAATACATTTTACCATAGTTTTATTAGTTACCTTTACGTACACAGTAGTAGGGGACAGAAGAGGAACCCTTTACCAAAAAGAGAAACAATAGAGAAAAGGAACTTGCTATATGATGTGTAGATTGTTACGATAACACAATTTCCGGACATCTCCTTTTCTTTTTATTTCTCCGCTTTAACTTTATACCTTAATTGCCACGCAGCATTTCCCTTTCTCGCGCCGCGTTGCCTTCCTCTTATTTTAGACTTAACTCTCTCACACAGTGGAGCTGGCCATACGGGCTAGGCCCTATGACATCATCAAGCCACTGCCTTCATCAACTGTATAGTACACATGTACAAACAACCTGTAGTAGTATATATACCCCAATAGATCCAGGAGACTCCTCAGCGAGTCCTCCTGTTGTATACCAGCTAACTCACTGCAGCCCAAGGGGTACCCACTCCCCATCTTCCACTACCTTTATAGTGTGTTCCTGTGTGCGCCAGAGTAACTAACTCTTGGTTGTTACATAGATCCAATCTTATTAATTGGGGAACCATATATTGCATACCTTTTGCATTCGTAAAACAAGATACTTCACACCAGAGCTCTCCTTTGACAATATTGTACAACACCTGGAAAAAAACAGACCCACACATACTATCCCCATCAACACCAGGACTGGAAATGCAGGACTTAGCAGATGCATTACCAGCTACTCTGTAAAGAGAACCATCACCAACACCAGAATTCTGGCGGATGGAAAATTTAGAATTAATGATACAAATGGCCGTGAATTTGGCAATTCAAGACAACAGTGCAGAGTGGGAGCAAAGATTCCTACAAAAAGACGAAGAAGTTGCCAGCTTGCAAAAAAGGCTCACTGTGCAGCAGCAACAGATGGCCCGGCCCGCAGAAAAAGGAGCAGGGTATCGGAAAACCACATTAACTAAACCAGAGCCATATGACTGAAATAAGAAGAAGTTCCGGAACTTCTTCAAATCCCTACAGCTTCATTTTGGGGCTAACCCAGAATATCTTGCAATAAAAGTTAACAAGGTCAATTTTGCACCATCTTATATGACAAGTGGAGCAGTAGCTGCCCTGAGGACAGAATGGGTAGAAAAAAAGATGTTGGCAGATGAAAGAACAGACATTGAGGAAGGAGAGCTACTGGGGTGCACTCTGACTAGAGGTCACCAACTTTGTACACAGGGCCTTTAGTCACGTGACATGCAAAATTGAGGTCAAAACTTTTAATTGGCAGGGCACACAATTTCTCATTGATATATCCTTTTACTTTGGTCTGCACAATATACCTTTGCTGTTTACATATGGCTAGGGGTAGAAAACTTGTGAGAAACCTCAGAATCCGTGTTGCTAATGCTCGGGCATCCCAACACCCACGAGACTCTTATGCACCCTTGCCTTCATTGAGTTCTCAACCCAATGTATCTGCATCTGCTCCAGCTACTCCCCCAGATTCTGCTCCTATATCTCCCACTCAAACCCATGAGTTCATTGGTCTCAGAATATCATCACAATCTCCAACTCCGAAGATGAAGAAGTCGGGTATCACTTGGATGATCTGCTATCAGAGATGAACGGGAAAGAGTTGAGAGATAGCCTGGATCTCCAAATGCAGGAGGAGATTGATTTTTTGGAGCAGATGAAGGAAGCCGAAAGACCTGAACCCAAAGAGACAGTGTTCTTGAACTTGATGAAAAAGCACACGGTTACAGACTGGAGGGTAGCCGAGTCCAGCAGGTCACTTAGATACAATGGGCAGTCAAAGAGAAAGAAACAGTATGATGCAAAAAAAGCTAGGGATCGTGACACAGCAGATGAAAAAGTCAGAAACTCGTCAGTAACATGGTCCAAATTGATGCTTACCTTTGTCCTGCAGATTCCTAGATCATCTGCAGCTTTCTTTCGAGCCCATTTTCTGCCCTCCAACTCCACAAAGCCTACACCTGCACCCAATATTGATGTGGATGACGCTGTCGATGATGAGAACTGCTGTTAGAAAACCACACACAAAACAAACTAACACACAATCCTCCCAGATTCCACGGAACTTGTTTATGGGCTTTGCCTCCTAGAACAGTGGAGTGGTCTGGTTGTTCGTGGGGTGGTACGTATAAAGATCCTTCAAAGTAAAACCCAGAGATGTATGGGTGTGGGTTTTGAGGAGGAGGGATAGTTGGAATATAGAAAGATAGGGGGCGTTGTGGCGAGTATAGACAAGCACTACCTTGCTAATTGTGGCACAAGGTAGGTTTGAGAATGACAATATGACGAGGTTCCCAGTGATAGCAGGCTCCTGACGCACAAACTGTAGTGCTCAGAAGGACCCCAACTGAAAGGGATGACAATGACTTCAAAAGTGGGAAGTGACGATGACAGCAGTTGACAGTGGTAGAAGTGGGAAGTGTTGTGACCACACTGGATCACAAGTAGCAGAGTAGTGAACTTGAGAGTAGAGAAGAAGTCTGGATTGGATATCTTTGTTGTTTTTACAAGGTAAAATACAGGGGTTTATATAGTGAAAAGAAAGGTAGGCTATGCACAGTATAGCTGCGCAAAAAGAATGAGAAAGAACATGAAGGAAGGAATGTACGCTGACAAATCCTGCATAGTTGCTACAGGATAAGATCATCAAAATAAGGGAAAGAAAGGGATAGAACAATGAATGCTGTGAGTAATGTCACAGGTTTGTACAGCCATAAAGTAAAGTCCAATAGCAAAAAGAGAGCAAGAAAATCATGATGTCATGGGAAGATGCAGTAAAAAAAGGGCAAGGCAAAACACTATCAGTATCAACACAGTTCCTTTATTGTCAGTCAGGCATTCTAAAAAAATATGTGTCCATAAAAATGATTCAAAAATCAAAAATAATTGCACTGTAAATGAATGTTCTGCTGAAAAAAAAGAAACCGGCGGGGTCCCCGTGGTCAATTTAGAAGG